CACTCTCTCTCTCTCTCTCTCTCTCTCTCTCTCTCTCTCTCTCTCTCTCTCTCTCTCTCTCTCTCTCTCTCTCTCTCTCTCTCTCTCTCTCTCTCACACACACACACACATTCACACACACACACACACACACACACTGTTGTTCATAGAATTATGGGTAGAACTTTTTCTCAAATGATCAATTCTTTTCCTTTATAATTATTACTTGGTACTTTCCTTTAATTGCCTGTCATTGTTGATCTTCCGCAGTCCCAATCTGACCTGGAGACGTGCCTGACCCGCTGGGATGAGTTTGAGGAAAGCTACCAGGAGTTTGGCAACTGGCTCAGGGAGACGGAGGTGTTGCTCCGCTCAGAGCTCGATCTCAAGGCCACGGTGGAGGAGAAGAAACAGCACTGGGAGGAGTACCAGGTGAGAGTGACAGAGAGAGAGGGAGAGAGAGAGTCCGAGAGAAAGAGAGAGAGCACTTATGTGTTTCAGAGAGAGTAGATACAGAGGTAACTTGTGCATTTGAGTGAAAGTAACAGACAGAATACGGGTGCGAAACGTGGACAATCAATAAACAGCTGGAAAGAACAATTGTAGCGACAGAGTTGTGGTTCATAAGACACATGCTACCTATCCCATGGACAGCTAGAAAAACAAATGAAGAAGTGCTGGTTGAAGCAAATTATAGAAAACAACATATCACGAATATAAGAAAACGACAGGCAAATGTCTTCGGACACACAATGCGGAAAGAAGCATTAGAGAATATTGTAACAACAGGAAAGTTTGATGAAAAGAGGGGCAGAGGTAGACAGAGGGAAAAGATACTGGACAAGATGACAACTTGGTTGGGAGCAGCAAGAACAACAGACACCATTGCTGCAATGCAGGACAGGGTGAAGTGGAGGTTCATGATCGCCCACGCCAGTCTGCAAGGCACCGGATGATGATGAACAGACAGAATATTGTGTGTATGAGAGAGAAAGACAGGGAGTACTTGTGTGTCTGAAAGAGAGAGAGAGAGAGAGTACTTGTGTATTTGACAGAGAGAGACAAAGAGAGTACTTATGTGTTTGAGGGAGAGACAGAGAGTACCTCTGTGTCTTGTGTATTTGAGAGAGGCAAAGCTAGACAGAGCACTAATGTGGTTTATATTGGTGGGTGTATGAGTGAGGAAGAGATGGTTTGTAGAAATGAATGTTGAGTCAAAGGCTCCCACCTCTGAATAAACCATATAGTTTGGAAAGGGGCATTGAATATATCCCATGCCATATGACATCACTTGTCAAGATTGCTCATTGAGATCCCAATAACCCTTGGGGTTTTACAAACCTGCATTTTTTTTTTTTTTAAATTTAACTTAATAACATAGGTCCATTGAGCTTGACCTTGATTCTTTGCAGCTTCATCTTGAGGATGCCATCTCACATCAGTCGTCACTTGATCGGGTCAGCGAGAAAGCCCAGGCACTTTTGCAAACCAACGCCGACGCCAAAACATCCCATGCCATTACACAGCTGACCACTCGGTACCATGGAGTCATCGCTCTTGCCAAGGTAAGGGGAGGATATGGTAAAGATCTTCAAAGCAGATCAGTGGTGATGATGGTGTTGCTTTGAATTCTTTTAGTGATGAATCTTGAGATCTTTAACAGCAGAATGTTAGTTCAGTGTTAATTTAAAAAATGAGATGATGTTTGTGTGTTTCTTGCAATGTTTTTGTTAATTTTTTGAATGAGATGATGTTTGTGTGTTTCTTGCAATGTTTTTGTTAATTTTTTGAATGAACTGTATTAGTTTCACTGACTCTTTGGAAAGATTTTTTTGTACACACAAACTTTTGAGGGATGAGATTTTTTCCCCCTCCCTTGTTATGGATGTCACTGTGAGTGGATAGAAATTTGTAGGGATTTTTCCCACTTTGTGTGAAACTGCATAAATGTATTTATTATAAACGATTAACAAATGTTTTTATTGCTGATGGATACATGTGTATCTTTCTTTTTATACAAAACTGAAATTTTAAAAAGTCTCTTTTTGCTGTCTATTTCCAGGACATCAGCAGCAACTTGGAAGCCTACTACAACAACCACCGGCTGTACAAACAGAATCATCACCTGTTTGTGGACTGGCTGCGTGAGGTCAAACAACGGCTCAAGTCCGTCAATGATGATCGTGGGTCTAAGGACACCGTCAGTGACAAACTGATGGAAGTTGATGTAAGTTGGAACGCCGTGTGACAAGCTAAAAAGTATTCCTAGTGTTCAATTTAGGAATACAAATTTTGAGGCTGTGAAACTTTTATAGCTTTTAGGTTAAATTTAAATGTTGATTTTCTGATGTTCCTGTTTTCACAAATGTGTTATGGGTATAAAACTGTGAATTTTATTTTTTACATTTGCCACACAGATGGCCAGTGGAGACTGATGTGGTCTGCCCCATTTACTTTTTCAACGGGCAGCTGGTTTCTTTTTTAGTCTGTTTCTGGTAAAAAGTGGTGGTTTTTGCACTGATGAGCAGTCTACCCTCTTGTACCATTCAATTTATGTAATGACAAATCTTAAAATCAACATTCCTGTTGTATGATGCCTTTGCTAAGCAAGTTTCACAAGCCTTCAAAGAATGTCAATTACAGTTTTTTAAAATCTTTATGCTTTCCTTTTTGCCTTCATTATCATTGAATAAGTTTATCATGCACCTAGCAAACTTGCACATAGCCAACACATTATCAGGTCCCGCATTTTTCCCTGCACATGTATATTTGTTGTATGTAAAACATGTACATAGTAAAAATTTGTACATAACAAAAAGATCTCCATGTCTCGCCGATTTTGCTATGTGCAAGCTAGACTGTATAATTGTTGTCCACTTCCTTTATGTATTGACTCTCTCCCCATCAGGAGATCCAAGGTGCCCTGGACCAAGGCCACACCATCCTCCGCACGGTGCTGGACAGCTGTGAGAAAACTCTGCCAAACACCAACCAGAGAGGAGTGCACATCATCAGGAACGAGGCTGACACAGCGAAATCTGACTACGAGAACATCCTCACACAAGTCTCACAGGTAAGGCTCTTGCTTTGTGTGTGGAATATTTTCTCAAGTATTGAGATGGAGCCTTGTTTGATCAAGACACGTTCTGTTCCTTTCTTTTCAAAAGGCCAACTAGAAAAAAATGTTCTTATTGTTCAAAACATTGCTTCACTTGTGAAAATATAGCAACGTTTTTACAACGATGTGTTTTGAATTGTCAATAACAAAGACAAAGGAAAGGTAGTAATTCCATGAATTACTGTATGTTCTCCTGCTACCTGTACTTTGAATGTAAGATTCCATTTGTAACTCAACATTTTCCACAGTAAATTCAGTTATTTCATTTTGTGCATATCTTTATTTTTTTATTTTTTTTTAAATCTTTATTTTAAAATAAGTTGAATGATAGAAAAATTAATTTCCACAATGAATTAAGAATTTAGTCTGAATAAGTTTAGTCTGTCTTATAAAGGGTTTTAAGCTCACTTCTTTTCTGGATCTGCTGTTGTTTGTATCTTCTATCTTGCTTCAAGATGGGCCTCCATTGTTCACCAAAAGAAAAATAAATAAAGAGAACCCATATTTTAGATAGGGGCCTACTGACTCTTGTGCTTATTTCAGTAGTTAAATTCAGGGTTTCCCAGTCCACAAGACAGAATGTGTAAAGTGATTTGTCTTTTTTTTTTCCAGGTGAAGCGTAGTCTGGAAGGATCCCTGGGTCACTGGGAAGACTTTGAGCACCTTTTCCAGCAAATGTCTGACTGGATCACCGATGTTGAGCGCCGTCTGGGTTCAAGTCCAGACTTCAAAGCAGATCTGCCAGAAAAGAGGTCTAGCCTTGAGAAGTACAAGGTGAGCGCCATACTGAGCATTTTGTTTTAATAATAGAATATCATAAAAATAACGATAAAGATCACTTCTATAGTATAGTGCCCTCTCCCTGGTCGCGCAAGTTATTTCACAGTAAAATAAGATTTAGATAAATGTCTCATACATACTGGCCCATTCAACATTAAATGGCCCTGGGTATATTTTACCCATAAAGATAGTGCACCAGGGGCTCCAAACTACCTATGAGTTGTCCATTGGCAAGTATTTGTGATTTTGATATTTCCTTTCACTTATAGTGTAAAGTGCACATATAGTTTCAACTGAGCACGACGGTTATCTCATTGTCGAGAAAAATGGTTGCTTTAGACAGATGGATGTTTTGGACAGTGTCAGTATAAGGTAGAAAAATTCACTGTGGGAAGTGAAATGTGGCCATTTATACAGGTGATTGTTTTAGACAGGTGGCCGTTAGAGCAGATTTGACTGCAATAAACCTAGTACCTTTAATTGACATCTCCGTCCTTTTTGTTTTTATTATTGCAGGCCTTACAGGCAGACATTTTGGCACACAAGGATCAGCTGGATCGTCTGGAGGAGAAGGCCAGCCAGGTCAAGGACGGTGTGCCAAGGTCAAGGACAGCTGAGCTCAGGGCCAGATACAATGCTTTGGTGGAGAATAGCAGAGTGAGTGGAGAGCTTCGTATCTTTTTATACATTACAGTCTAGCATGCTCACAGGGAAACATGTTCATAGCTAACAGATTTTGTTAGGTCCCAGATATTTTTTATTAAACATTAGCATATATTCTTTGTATTTAAAACAAACACAAAGTGAAATTTGTACATAATGTAAAGATTTTCTGCCGATTTCACAATGTGCAGTATATTGCATCTGTTTTCTTCAATGTTGATGTCTTCTTAAAGGGTGTAGTTTAAGTTTTCACAGTTGAAGAAACTGAATAAACAACACAGTTGGACTGTTAGCATGGTTTCAGCCTTTTTCTATGAACTGATAATATTAGCTTCAAGTTTTTAACGGGAAAATTAGGAAAATGCGTACAGCAGTTGACCATCTTTATTCGTCTTGCAGGGATAAATTTGTGTTGGTCTTTCAAATGGCAGTGGTATTACAAAGACCAGGTGCACTCACACATACGCACATCAAAAGAGGACAAAAATACACAAATTACATGCTAAACACCTGTGCCCAATAAACATTGTCTCTCTTTCTTAAGAAAATAAGCACAAATTTTTTTTCTATAATCTGTACAGGAGGTGGTTGGTAGTGTTGAGGAACAGGTGGGCAGCCATGAAGACTACCGCAAGGCGTACATCAGCTGTCTCGACTGGTTGGCAAACACAAAGCACAGACTGCAGAGGCTCGCGGACTACTCCGGAGACAAGAGGACGCTGCAGGACAGACTTCATCAGCTACGGGTAAGTGTAAGGATCTAACGCCCCTGTCAACATTGTTAGGCTATTTAACACTTTGCAGTCGTACAGCCAGCAGTACAAAATACCCCATCTGGTCTCCCAGCCTGGAGAGCGACTGCAAGGGACTTCTCGGGCCTGGGGCAGAATTGCGCCAGGTGATTAGAGCAGATAATTTTCACTGGCGCATTATTGCACCAAGTGGCCGCAAAGTGTTAAGATGTGGGACTTCAAATTTAACGTCCATCTCCAATAGGACTGAACCAAATGAGTTGAGAGCCCTGAAAACTCCTCAAAACGATCAGAAGGCAAAACCGCCCAGTCTTGGATTCGAACCACAATCATCCGCTCCACAGTCTAGCATGATACGAACTGAGATAACGGAGTACCCCAACAAGATAACAAAATGTTCATCTCATGTTGTCAGTGGCATAATCTATCAGTGTAGAAGACGGAAACCCAATTTTAAATAATAATAATAATATAGATTGTAAAGTGCGTAGAGCTGGCTACTGAGCAGGGATATACTCTATACAATTGCTATTTATTATTTTCACTGCTACATACTGCATATTTGCAGTCTAACATTGTGGCGATAACAGGGAGTTTTATTGTTCCTGATGCTTGCAGTCTAACATTGTGGCGATAACAGGGAGTTTTATTGTTCCTGATGCTTCAGTTGTTGACTCTGCAGACCTTTTCCTCTTTCTCTGAAATCCATCTTTGTAGGCTATTGTTGGATAGTGGG